ATTCGGTCTCTGTATTGTAGGCAGTTCAGGGTACGGGTTTTCCAGGGTAGTCCCGATGTTGAACTTATAGGACTATAATTGAAATTGGAGATTTGGTTTCTCGTAAGTCTTGTGGAGTCTCGCATTTTCAGAGTCGTTGGGGTAATATTATTTTTGTACGTTCTCGAATGTCTCGAAAAAACGCGGCCAGAAACCCCATTTTGTCGGGTTATGTCAAGCTACGCGTTATAGGACTATAAACTTGAAGATTGATGTGTCGAGTTCGCTGACTCTTGTTGGCAGTGTTTGGAGATGTTCCTCCCAACAGTTTTTTTTCTTCTGCATTTGGCAAGCCTGTGACAGTCTTTTTTGGAAGCATGTATTTTCCAAATTTTCTTCCTTAATGACTTTCATTTATAGGACTATAAATGAAACAGGGAAAAGTCTGCGGTTTCTTGGAACTCGGTGTAATTTTGCATTGCTTGAAATTTCGTTGGGCGTTGGGCACTGTGTTTTCCCGTGAACTTTTCCCCTCCGAACTTGCCCCGCTAAAATTAACGTCTGCGGACTAATTTCTTGCTCAAGGTTAACATTCTCCTCACGAAAGCTACGGATTTTCGTTGTTTTCGGTATCCCTTGTTGTAGAGTAGCTGAATAAATCGCTCGCTCTAACGACAAAGAAAGGCAAAATATGTTGCAAGACATCCTATAATGAATTGTTAGGTTTTCTCCGATTGTGAGGTTTTCACGAATCCCCTGTTAGAGAGAGAGAGAGAGAGAGAGAGAGAGAGAGAGAGAGAGAGAGAGAGAGAGAGAGAGAGAGAGAGAGAGAGAGAGAGGTCGCCCGCCGCCCCCCTCTCTCTCTCTCTCTCTCTCTGCCTGCCACTTTCAAATCGCAAAGAGGGAATGATTCTTTCCACGAAAATGGGAAGATTCATTCCGGCTTTGGCTTTCCAAAGCGCTTCATTTTATTTTTCTTATTTCTTTGTTTTTTTTGGTTGTTTTTTTTCCCGTTTTTCTCGTCCGTTTCGCATGGACGTTCGGGATGCCTGCGCCCTGTAGTCCGAGCCTCGGCACGGTTCGGCGTACCGGTTGGCCGAGGCTCGGACTCGATAGCTGGGCCAGGTACTGGTGGTTTAAGGGCTAATAACCACGAACTCTTGCTGTATTCCTAGAACACCATATTCGGGTGCCAAAACCCTCAGAAACACCCTCTAGCGCCGTACGCTTGGGACCCCCCAAATTTGAAGGCTCTGCTTACTTTTCAAGAAGACTTATGAGCGAAATAAAATCTTTGAATTATCTTTCTAAATTGCCGGGGGGTGGGTCATCTCAATGATGATATCCTCTGTTTCTTTCTTCCCTCTTCTTTTTGTTGTTCTTTCAATTCACCTTGCACTACCTACCACAGGAGACCCCTGCAAGTATAGCTATCTCTTAATGAAAGGATTGCATGTTGCCCCTAACCCCAGTGGATTAGGGTGCAGCGTTGGGGCCACCAGTGGGGCTCAACTAACAGTAGGACCGAGCTTGATATCTCAAAGTCGTTGCCCTTTTAACAAAACAAAACAGAAAAAAGCAGAAGATCACATTCTTTCTTTTTAAGAGGCGAGAAGTTCATCAACCGAGTACTCCTTTCACTGATTGGTTATAAAAGTACTAATGGACATTTGTGCCCTTTTCCTTTAATACAACAAGTCAAACCCGCCGCGGCCCAATAGAGAGGATGAGAGAAAACGATGAAGGAGACATGAAGAGGGAAATGGTGGGGCCCGCGACACCTTTTCCTACTTCCCGTCTCTCTCCCAAAGAAAAAGAGAGGAAAAAAAATGCCAATATCTACCCCTCCTTCCCATTCATCCTTCTGATCTGCCCCTCAATCTGCCCTCCTTCAGTTCGCCCTCCTGCTCTGCGTTCATCCTCCTGTTCTGCCCCTCCGTCTGCCCCTCCCCTCCTGTTCCTTCTCCTGCTCTGCCCCTCCTCCACCCTTTCCTATTCGCAATTGTCTAGCTCCCAGACAGGGTGTGCTCCCACTCGCAGCCCAACAGAGAGGGTGAGCGAAAACGATGGAGGAGAGACTAAGAGGGAAATGAAGGGACCTGCAGCACATCTCTTCCTTCCCCCAACCTCTCTCCCCAAAAATGTCCGACGTCTGCCACTCATTACGTTCGTCCTCCTCCCCTTCTTCCTCTTACTTGTCTTGTTCCCACTCCTTGTCCCTCGACCCACCGTCTTCCCCCTCCTCGTCTTGCTCCTCCTGCAACTATTCCCGTTCGCCCACTGCCTTCTCCCCCTCATCCCCTTCGCCGTCCTCCTTTGCATTCCCCCTCGTGGTTCGTAGTTCTCCCTTTCTTCTCTTTCCTCTCCTCCTCTCCTCGTCATCCCATCTCTCGTCATAGCGCCCCTGCCTCTTCCTCCCGTTCGCCGTCCGCTTCTTTCCACTCGCGTCCTCCCCCTTGCCCTCCTTCCCCTCCTCCCACTTGTCATGCCACCCTCCTCCCGCTCCTCATCCCTTGCACAATGGAATGACTCTTTCCCGTGAACGTGAGGAGATACACGACCATATTTTTTTGTTTTCCTGTTAGTCGTCCTCACCACTCCCCTCCTTCCCCTCCTCCCATCCACCATCCCGCCGCTCCTCCTCCCGGTGCTCCTGTACAAACAAGAATGATTCTTGCCATGGAACATCGGGAGATACACGACCATATTTTTTTTGTCTTCCTGCTCGTGGTCCTCCCCGTCCTCCTCCTTCCCCTCCTCCCACTCATCATCCCACCCCTCCTCCCGTGCAAAATGGAGCGGATCTTCCGCTGGAACATCGGGAGGTACATGGCAATATTTTGTTCACTTCCTGTTTTCCGGCCTCATTTCCTCCTTCCGCTCCTATCGCGCCTGTACAACCTCCCCTCGCACACGCACACGCACACGCACACGCACGCAAGCGTGTGTGTGTGTGTGTGTGTGTGTGTGTGTGTGTGTGTGTGAGAGAGAGAGAGAGAGAGAGAGAGAGAGAGAGAGAGA